GAAGAAATTATCTTGAAGATTGCATGCGAACCTAGAGTTCATTTCAATAATATTTGAGTTGAGGTTAGCTCAAATGTCTGGTAAAAATACCTGTTCCTACTGCTTAGAGAAGGAAGGGAAGGGAAGGGAAGGGAAGGGAAGGGAAGGGAAGGGAAGGGAAGATATACTGTACTTCAAGGAGTCTTTTCCTTGAAAAAAAAGAACGCCCATCCTTTACATACTTTGAATATGGACCCAAATGTACTGGAATAATTACTGGAAAAACCTGGATTCAAAGAGAGTCCTATTGGACAATATCTTCTGAACACATACAAAGAAAATGCACATTTTTCCTTCCAGGAATAGTCCCTTGACTCTCAGGAAGGCCAAACTTGGGGATCTCCTGACTGTCATTCCATTGCTCATGTCCTCCTTGGAATTATGGCTGTAAAAGAAATCCCTGGGACCAGCTCTGGGGTTGGAAAAGAAATAGGGGAGCCACAAAATGTCAATAATGACAAGCAGATGGATATTTCAGGGACACGTAGCTCCTCGGTCTCAGATTTTTGGAAAAAGGTTCAAGCAGCTCTCAGAGACCCTGCCTTAATGAGTTTGCTAATCAATGAATGCTAATGTTTTGCCACTCACTTTCCAGGATTCTCTTACTCAGTTGACCATGAACCTAACTAATAAGAAACTTTAGTGACTCTTTCTTTCTGGCTTGCAAGTGTCTGTGCATTCCCTTTGCATGGCTAATATATTTTCAGCAAGGAAAAAAAAAGACGCGAAAGCTTTCACATGTATGAGTCATTCAAAATATTGGCTTTCAGTCGTTCGTATCTTACATTCTACTCAACAATTTATCAATAAACTTGAGTTTTTATGATGACAGAAATACAAAGGCTGTTTTTACCCCCCAAGAGAGACATTTACAGTATATTTTTCTTTATAGGCATTCTGTTACTACATATTAATCCTTTATAGTAAATTTCCAGGACTTAAAATTTCAGTGGTTTATCCTGCGTCCCCCCTAGATTACTTCTGTGTTGGGCTGGTGGTACATGTGAACCAAGTGAGACCCACTTTTCCAGAATCAGTAAAACCTGACAGCCAAAACTAAAAGCTTTTTAAGTATTGAGAAATCTAGAGTAATTCTGAAACTAGATCCTTATACATGCCGATTGTAAAGAACATGGCTTTGTTCCTCCCACATTAAAAGAAATAATCCCCTTAATCTTTTAAAGAGCTCCCATAAGGGTTGTTTTATTTTTCTAGCTATCTTTTGAACCAAGGTTGACTGAAAAAAAAAATCAATTAAGGATGACTCTCAAATTAATTTGAATAAGAAGTTCCTCAGGTGATTGCCTGTTTTTCGTATCTCCAACCAGACTTCAGAACATCCCCATTCTGAACTGTGCAACTGAGCAAACAACAGATTGGATAATGGGGCAACATTGTCTATAGACAATTATTTCCAGAGTGTATTTTGGAGATAAAACTGAGATTTCTGAAGTTATCTGCTCTTCAGTTTACTTTTTCATGCCTCTCAATGACTATTCATAGCCTGAGGTGGAGCACTTATAATTCTCAGATGCCCCCATTCTAGTAACATGTGCTTGTCTCAAGGCTTCTATTGGGCTAACCACTGATTGGACTTGGATCCTAGCTAATCAGGGATCATCTTGCACATCACATCTGACTACGAGAAATGCTACACAGCCAATCCAATGTTGCCAAGTGAAGAAGTCAAAATGCTTACTAAAAGCAAAGATAGCCTTACATTTATTATATGCCAGGAAGTGTGCCCCATATTGTAAACGTTTTCTCCATCTTTGCAGCTTCCTGAAGTTCACTGGAAGGGTAACATGGAGTGTCAACTTTTCTCCACCTCCAGCAATTTGGCCCAAGATTATTCTGCTGTTCTAACTCAGAGTAAAACTGAAGTATAACTTCTTATGAAGTTATTTTGTCAGAAATAGGGTTGGAGCCAAACTCAGACTGAATTAAGCCAACCATTTATGGAATAATGATATTAGTAGCAATCATTCTTTAAGTAATTTTTGTCAACTTAAGCTTCTAATCTATATGAATTTCTTAACAAGCTGCTTCTTGAGGGACCTGATTTTGGCACCCAGCAAGCATGAATCCTGGTGAGCCGTCAATTTTTCAAATATTCTCAAACATTCCCATCAATTTCTCAACTGTAAAATACCCAATGTATTCCAATGAAGTAAAATGTTAAGTACCAATAAATATTGAAAGAGTTACTTTCGATTAATGGGTTGGACTACATCAATTTTTAATTTACTAAAAATGCATCTTAGATTAATTGCTTGGCTTCATTAAAAAAAAAAACCCCTCCTGGAGATGTTGCAAATCTGTCAGTTCAGCAAAGCTGGCAAAATCCTGTGGCGCTTTAAATTATTGTCTTTGATTACTTTTGATATGTTTGGAAAAGCAAAAGCTACGTTAATCACTGTTAAAGTTCAGCTATGCCTTACCAAAGAGATGATCCATTCACATTGGAGGAACAGCCATTTATAAGACATACTACTACGACACGTAGGTGGGGCATCAAAAAATACAGTTTGAAACTCTTCTTTTATTTATAAGAAACTCATGCAGGATTAGTTAAGAAAAATGAAGCACATTTTAGGCAATCACCCAGCTCAGTATTGATCAGAGCTGCATAAATAGGCATATGAATAAAACAAATAGGGTTTTTTTTAGTTAGAAACCCTCCAGTATTCTTTTATTATTATTATTTATGAGGGTAACAGCCATAATATTTATTCATCTATTTCAATGATTTCTATGGCTGCCCATCTTGCAACAGTGACTCTGGGAGGCATACAAAGATTAAAAACCCCATGCCCCTTTTCTATGTGGGCTTGACGTTGCATTTGTGAAAGGGACAGAGTTCGTGTTGTGATTCTGCTTTTGTCATTATGATAAAATGATGCTTCTGGTGGAAGGGGATGCAAGATGGCCGTACTGAAGAGGCCTCTTTTGGCTAGTGGGGCTTCTGGAGGGAACAATCCAAAATCCTTCACTTCTCGTTTAGAAGGGAGGGGGAAAGTCTGCGCTATTTTATAAAGCCGCTTCTGAAGAACATCTTGCAGAAAGTTTCATCAAAGCAAGCACTCCTCTGAAGTGTTGCTGAGCTCTGGTTCAATAAATACTTTGGCATCCACCAAACATATTCAAGATTCTCCATTTCACAGAACAAAAACTGGAAAAAGCCTTTTATTTTTCCAGCTCAACCCCTGATTTCCATGTAATTCATGCAAATAATCCGTTCTTAAAGTCTTATACTTGGGAAAGGAATGTTTGATATGGTCATGTTTCCAGTGTGAACAATTCACTAATGCCTTTTCTTAAAATAAATGAGGAGAGAAATGCAAGACTACTTCCAACGAGATTTGCACAGCTCTCCCCACTGGTGACTTTGGTCCAGTTGAGACTTACACATTATTTTGCCAAAAGGTAATCTCCAGTCTTGTCCCATATCTTCTCAGTGCACCTACAAAGTTCACAGCTATAGTTTTAACAAATTCTGTGCTAACTTCAGCATTCTGGAGTTGGGAGTGTTGAATTTCACAGATCCCTGTTTTAAACTCTCACATTCAAAGGTAGGAGGTAAGACTAATAATACTGGCATTAAGTACAAATTATGCTCAGAATTAGATCATATTGGACTAATCCAAGAATCACTTCTGAAGCTTCTATAGATCAAACTGAACCATGCAACCCTTCTCATCCAGTGATAACCAGTTTTTGATATTTCAGAATAAGAGGGTATTCTGAGCTTCCACCAAATTTTTTATGGAGATTGAATGACTGTGTGCCATCAAGATGGTGTTGACTCTTCATGTCTACATAGATTGATTTTCTCCATAATGATCTATCTCCAACTTGGTCCTTCAAGTCTTCCAATGGTGCACTCATTGCCACTGTAAGAGTCCATCCACCTTATTGCTGGTTCTCCTTTCCCAGCATCAGACCTTCTCCAGAGAGCTAGTTTTTGTACATAATATGTTCAAAGTAGGATAATTTGAGCCTGGTCATCTGTGCCGTGAGTGAGAACTCTGGGTTGATTTGTTTGATGATCCATTTCTGTTTGTTTTCTTGGCTGTCCATGGTATTAGTATTTACCAAAGTTCAAAAGTGTCAATATTCTTCCTATCTTGCTTCTTCAAAGATCAACTTTCACTTACATAGAGTGTCATAGGGAATACCACAGCTTGCATGATTCTGATTTTTGTAGGAATGGATACATTACAGCATCTGAACATCTTTTCGAAGGCCTTCATGGCTGCTCCACCAAGTGCTAGTCTGTGCTGTATTTCTTGACTGCTTGTTCCTTTACTGTTGATGGATGATCCTAAAAGACAGAAGCTGTCCACCACTTCAGTAACTTCTTTGTCAATTCTAAGGCTGTTTCTTTCTACCTGTTGTCATTCGTTTGGTCTTCTTTATATTTTAGTCCCATTTTTTCACTGTGCTCCTTGGCTTTTATTACTAGAGTTTGCAGATCCTTTGCGTTTTTGGTTATCAAGCTAGTATCATCAGCACAGAGCAGGCTATTGATGCTTCTTCCTCCAAATTTAAAACCATGCTCATCGTCCAACCCAGCTTCCCTTAATATATATTCAGCATATGGGTTCAAAAAATAAGGAGAGAGAATACAGCCTTGTCACACTCCTTTGCCAATCTAGAGCCAGTCTGTTTTGCTATGTTCTGTCCATATTAATGGAGATAACAGAAGTTGAAAGGTACAACTATTAGCACATGCCCTTGAGTTGAAACTTCTGCTTTTCATAAGGGCAATGCAATGCATTTAACTAGTCCTGGAATGTATGATGAAGTCCTCATTTGCAAAGATTATATGTAACTTTCAGACATCAGAGAAATGGCTCCAGTTAAAGAAGAACCTATGGAATAGGTTGGCTTCTTTATCATCAAGCATGGACTGAATATTTTGATATTAAAACACCAGCTCATAACTGCTTCCAGTTTCATTTTGCAGTCTCAAATAGGACAGGCTTTAAATGACCAGGAGTGACCTTACCCTTCTGAAACAAATGCATTTCATCTCCGCAGATCTATGTGGAAGAAACTAGACAGCTGTTTCATAAGAAAAATCTGGCTAAAAACATTAACATTTGTTGAATTTTTTTTTAAAAAATTCCAGTTTATGCTACAAGATTTGTAGAATACCACTGTTGAAATAAGTTACTGTTTTCTTAAAAAGGAGGAGGAGGAGGAGGAAGAGGAGGAGGAGGAGAGAAAACTGGCCTCTTCGGCTATACTTTCAATATTTTCTGAAGGAAATGTGAGTAGGTAGCTCAGGTACCTTTCAAAAATCCAACTTTGGGAACAAATTAAAAAATAGCGAACAAAACACATCCCCCAAAATTTTGGGAATCAGATGTATATCTGAGCAACAGGAAGTACTCAGTACTGTTGTTGAAAGCCCTTTGTAAACTCACTCTTCAGTCTTATTTAGAACCTTCCCAATGGACATTTCAATCCTGCCATTTTGCAGAATAATATTCACCAGGCAGTTCACCCATCACTGCTATAAAATCTAAGTCTTCAATTCACCTTCAAAGTGAAGTCCATGCACATTTGTTAAAAGGTTGGTTCATTCCCCCCCCCCAACATTTCCTGGTTTGTTCTTTATGCCGACGGCGAATTAATCAAACACCGGCAGCCATTACACAAAGTTCCCATCTTGTAGAGCAAAATCAAGAGTCCTCACAACGTTCCAGCTGCATTCGCAAGACACCTCTTTTATGGAGAAACCACAGTTGTAAGAATTCCTCTGGCATGGCATGGAAGCCCGAATCTGGCAAGACATTATCATAGTAATGGTGACTAATGTATCGCCCATGGAGGTCCATTGAAAAAGGCCAGAAACCATAAATAGTCACTTCTTCACAAAGACCAAGAGCTGCACTGACCAAGAAGAGGCCTGTTGAAAGCCGTTTACCATGAATTCCTTTGCTCTTCCAAAACTTGCCAATCTCCCGTAGGAAGTTAGGGTTGGCGAAGATCACAGTTTGCTTGGCTCCGACATCAGTGAGGGTGTAGTACACTCGGAGAGAAGGTTCAGTTCCTGTTTTCATTGAGAAGGCTGGCATATAAATGTAGCTCTGGTTGTAGACTTTAACATTGTCAACAAATGCTTTTCGGGACCAGAGAAGATTCTGGAATCTGTTCCGGGAAAAAAAAAAAGGAGAGGGGTGAGATGGTAGATTACCAGCTATTCAAAGCATACAGTACTATGACAAGTCCAAAGAAATAATGACAACAGCAACTCTTCAAGGTTACTGAAGGTTTGAGGTCTTGCTGCGACTAGAATCAAAGCAATAAGCAAACATGTTAATTTAAATCAGTGCTGGTGGTAACTCTTGGAATTCTGAGAGGATGTCATTAAGCCTCCCATAAAATGGCAAACACAGAAGTGTGACCAGGTACCAAATGCCTATTTGCCAGAAGGCAGATACTTCCTGTAGCTCTCAAGGAGGGTTTTTGCAATCTCAGTTTATCACCTTCTTCTTCCAGGTATTTTTCCAGGTGAAATACTGGGTTGCAGGCACCCCATAATTTTTTAAAGAATGCCTCCCAGGAATACGAATGAGGCTGGCATTGGGTTTTGCAGCACGCTAGCTTCTAATTTTTGAATCGAATTGAAACAAGGCAGGATGGCCTGGCAGATGCCAAAAGTGATGTTTGCAAGCACACTGGCGCCTGTGAGTGCCCACTGATTGCCACACAGCTCTTAAAGGCTGAACTTAATTTGAAAATGAGAAGGAGCCCTAAATGAGCTTTTTCATCACCAAAAACAATTTAATTTCTATTTTTCTTATTTCTCTGGTACATTCATGTTTTCCTTTGGTGGCCAGACCCATCTGCCCTCCTATTTGTACCCATCACATGACTTTGCTGATTTTGCTTTGTACAAAAGAGATGACAAACAATGGCTGGTGTGGGTCTTCCGGGCTGTGTGGCCGTGTTCTGGAAGTTTTGTTTCCT